TCCATGGGAAGAATGATCGGTCTCACTATTTGGCTAGCAAATATTAAGTAATCGTCCTGCTTCAGTAGGTGAARAATTAAAACAAACAAAGAGCTAGGCTGTCTGGCCCAGTCTACACAACTGTTATTAACTGGTGTGATACCAGCATTATATTTTTCAGAGATGCCTGATGTGGGGAAGACCCTGCGAAACTCTGGACCAGTCGGATACGGAGAGGAAGAAGCTCCTCGGCTATGAAAGCCATTGGGAGAAGGAAGGGGGGAACAAAAAGAGAAAAGACAGACCCCTCAAGAATCCGAAAAGGCCTTCCCATAGGAAAGGTTGATGTAACASACCTGGTGGTAGTCTTAATCGTTGTTGTCCAGATGCTCTTGTCAGAAGAAATCCCGCAGTATCCCCTGAGAAGGCATGGCCTGATGATGATAATGGTGGCAGAAACACTAGCGGTCGGGGTGCCTGTGCCCCCTGAATGGCCCTGGTCACAAGCTCGTATTAAGTATACTGGTAGTATGGGAAAACCCGGGAATAGCTTAAACCTTTCAACTGTTGATACTGATGCATGTATTGAGCGGGAATGACGAGGTTTTATCTGTGAAGGTAATACCTTGAGAGCTCAAGATCTTTGCCTAGATGCACAACAAAATTTCTGCCATTTCAAAATACGCTCTGATGAAGGTTCTGGAACTGTACTAGCGTATGTGGGAAACGGATGTGTGTGCGTGAGAACTCTGCGTTGTGTTGTATTTGTAGATAGCGTGACTGTGAGGGTAAATAATCACTCGAATACTTGTGTTTGTACCTTTACTGAAATTATGAGATGTGACTTTAATTATTCAGCCTCTTTAACCTCTCATCAGTTGTTACGATCTAATTATATACTGTATCAAGGCTTACTACCTACCCCTCTCGGAATAGACCTTACCCTAGTTAGAAAACTGTTACAACACAATGATTCGCATCAAATAATGGAAAGCATCCGAGACAACGGACAGAGAACCTTAATCACCGTTCATCACGATACAGAGGAAATACGTCGTGTTTTAGAAAGAGTGAAGAAAGATGGGGAACACCGTTGGTGGGATACACCTTTTTGGATGGTCACCGACAGCAACTGGGATCTTTAACCACGTTACATCCAATTGCAGTTCTACTGACTTTGGTGTAATTGTACTTACTGCTTATACTTATACCATTTATGAAGGTCTGGTACATGACAAAGYGAATATGCTCCCTAGATGATGGAYCTTTGATACATCGAAATGTTAGGTCTACATATAGGGGCAAAAGACTCCACTCAACAGATAAGCTCTATTTTTAGATCGAGCGAAACATTAGCATGGGGAGGGGGAAATGTAGGAGTTTTTGTGTTTTTAGGCTTAATAAGGTAGAGAGCTTAGCRAAAGTAGATGATATAGTATAGCATAGGGCATAGAGCACAGGGCATGGCRCTCGGAAGATCTCGCGATGTCACGGGAGTTAGGTGCACAATTAATTTAGGCAGTTTACTGATAACCCCATGCCATACAAGGCGAAAATTTAAAATTAGTGTCCTGATTGGGCAGTARGTGAGTTTGCACATTTCAAATGGAGTATATAGGCAAGCTGAACTACGCAATAAACGCCATTTTGCCGCATCCCCCATACTGGTATCTGTGCTCTGGGGCCCAGGGGCACGGACAACCCCAGGTYAGTCCAGCTAGCGAACGAGGCTTGCCGACCCCCGTCGGCAACACTGGTAACCTTATGCCTTGTAAGCACCCTTAGCCTTTGCCCTGTGCTCTAGGTGACCCTGCGTGTGCAGGGGTTTGGACTAGATGATCTCCAGAGGTCCCTTCCAACCTTAAGGGTTCTGGGATATTATGATTCTATGAACCTTGTCATAGATCATTGTCTCTAACTTTAGCACTAAGAGCTGGTCCTCGTCTGACTCTCTACAAAGATATTTTTAGAAGGGCTTGTAAGAACAAGGGCAGGATTTTAGTGTACTTTGAGAGTACTTTTGTCCATTTTTTTCAATTTCTTTGTTATTTTATGTGATCATGCTTGCACATGGACTTAAAATTTTGCTTGTGTTTTCTAGGTTTGCATGGTTAGCAGTTGCAGAAGTGCCCAGATGATCAGGTTTGAAAGCTCTTATTTTCAAGAGAATAAAAGCAAGTATTAAAAGAGCACCACAGTTTTAAAGAGACTTCAAATGAATCTTCAATGGTGCATATCATTTTTTACATACATCATTTTACTCATATAATTTGATAACATATTGCARTAAGATGCAACTGCAACATTCATTCAAAATAGTCTATCAGTTAGGCAGGGAGTTCCGGCTCTTTGGTAATTACAAATTATGACAGAAGGATAAAATACGCTCCCAAATATGTCCCTTCTTTAATTGGGAACTGCAAGCAAGACCCACATTAAAGACATTAAAGTTAAAATAAAATCTAATATTTTCCTAAAGTGAATATAAGCCAAAATAGTGRTGTAGGAATCTGTATCAACTCCTTAGTGTTTATTTCTTTGCTGCTGCGGCAAATAAAAGATAAAAAGGTTCCTATTGAGTTTACCAAGCATACCATGTTGCCTAATTGTCTTATGATTGAAGGGAAAATAAAAAGACATTGTGTAAAGCATATGAACACACAGATACCGGAGTGGCCTCCAGATCTTCACATCACATGGAGGTCACTGCCTGCAGAGAGAAGAAAACAACTGAAGTTACRTTAAAGCTTTTGTGATCTTTTTTCATGTGCAACAAGCAAAAGTTCTGCTCATCAGAGAGCCACCGCTTGCCTGAGGGTAGTCTGCATGGCTAAAGCATGATTTCCAAGCTGTACAGGTTGCCCTTTAACAGGTTCCCAAATGTTTGACTTCTCCAGAGAGCTTGACACATTTCTGTGCAGTTGTTTTTCTTGCAGATTTCAGGAAAAAAACACTTGATGAGGTGCTTCTCATTAATAAAAAAGTGATTGCCTGCTTACAGAGGTTGTTTTTGAGGTTCTTATGATAAATCTGTCTGGATCACAACCAGAGATAACAGCASTATATCCCTCTGATATTATTTCCACAAGATATAAGTTACTTATTGCTTGGCTTGCCAACTCTTTAGTCCTTGTAATATCCAAGCACTTCTCCTGCATCTTGATCTTTGGCAAGTTCCATTTTTAAATCATCTTGAACATGGAAGAAACTACCCACACTCAACAGTGAAACAGCCCATGAGTGCAAGTACAAGGAGACATAGCAGCAAATAGACTGAATCTTGATGGAGCATCTGTGGTAAAAGTTGTCTGTCCACCTGGTGGATCTGAACAACCATATACAAGAAAAAAACAGACYRGTACCACTGCTTAATTTACAGTCAGTTTCTGTATCCATAGCYGTAAACAACTTGTTTCAGAATCAAATACTAACTGTTCACAATATTCACATTGTTTTTTCATTATTTATTTTATTCTGTATCTGAATACTGTCAGAGCTGTAGCACAAGAGCAGAAAACACAAGCATCAAGATTGCTAGATGATTAAATCGAATTTGGCTTACAGTTCACTTGAGAATCCTCTAGATAGCAGACGACTGATTTGTTTTATTTTAATGTTTTAGACCAGTGGATGAAGGACTTCAGAATGCAGGGAAAGAAAGAAGGAAAAGGTAGGAGGAAAACATTAGGTATATATTGGAATAGTTGAAATCTGAAAAAGTATGATGAATAACAAGAGGTGAGCTTAAAKATGGGATAAAACATTAACAATATCTGTGCACAAGCCAGAAAATCAGTTTATTAGTTCAACTAAATTTAATGTAGAACTGTCAGAAGTTACAAGTATTCCCATTTACCAYAGTCAGTGATAGTTCAGGCATTACAGCTTTCTATATACACATACACASATAGAGATACGGCCTAACATTTCTCTCTATGCATATACATACATAGTTCTGTGCAGTATGTACATATTTTCACATTTCCCTTGAAAGTCACGCAGAATAAATGTAACCCTTTGACAATCAGTAACAGCAACACAATTCTGACTGAGTAGTCAAACCTACATATTTATGTTCAAGGATAATTCTGCCAAAGTGACACAAAAAATACGTGCTTGAACGTCGTAACAATCAACTGCTGTTACTGCAAGAATCAAGAGCACTTGGCTCCAAATCCTGCACCATTTCTGTCAGAGGCAACTTTACCAAGGACTTCTCAGAGTGCAGCACTGAAGCCTGACCAAGACCTGAAAGAGTATCTTCCTTTAAGCCCTAGGTCATGGAAAAGGGATGCTGATAACAGTGAAATCTCTCCTCTGCTTTTGCAAGTATCTACAACTTTGTGCTGGTAACCTTTAAAGTATTTGCCCACCTCTCACTACACAGCGGGGAATATCAGTGTTTACTCACACACCTAGGTACTACTGTTATCCTCAATGGCAATTCATGTTGACCTGAGGAAGGTTGCTCAGCAATTTCACTTAGTTTTTCAGTGCTGCAAGTTATTGACATACGTTTGATGACTGGAGACATGCATCTGAAGCCTGTAGCTGTTCCTCAAAGTAGAGAAGCTGATCCACCTCGAAGCAGTCACTTGCCCTAGGGACCACTTTCTCCAGACTCCTCCTCACCTCGTCCTCTCTGGCATTCTGCTGTCTTGCTTGCTTGAGGTACACGTACACTTTCTCAAACACTTCCTCTCCCAGCTTCTGAATGGCAGATCTATGGATAAATGTTACAGGGGAGTCAGGTAAGAGTTAATTCATACTGTATATTAAAACACRGAAAAGCTGGCCCTGGTTTTGTAAAATGTTATAACTAGTTTTAATTAAAAGTATAATGACATGCCTAATTTGTCCAATTATACAAGGAACTTCAATTTCCTATTGAATTTCKCTGCTGTTATTCATAACATGAAGTGACAGCCCAGGAGTAAAAACTTGGCCACAGTGAAGTCACAGAAATTGGCCATTGTCATCACTATCCAAATTTCCTCTTCTTGCCTAATTTAACATACTGGTCTACCTACACCAAGTCCAGTACATATGTGCTTATACATGTGCCTCTGGATCTCATCAGAAAYGAAACAAACAAAGCCAGGTAGCAGAACAGCAGTGGCATTTTATGAGAACAAACCCATTTCATTGCTTCATTGCAAGAATTCTTTGCTTTATTTTGCTCCCTATCAGATAACAAAGAAACTGTTTTACAAGATCAGCATGAGCTAATTGACACTTCTTCTTTTCCTACAGCACTATCCTTTCATCAGGAGACAGATTTGTATGTCAGTGATGAAGAATAAACTCACAGGAACTTAATTTATAACAAAGATTCAATTGGAAGCTGAAAGATAATGAACAGATGTTTTCTTAAAGGTAAACTTCTTTAAATTCATAGGTCACAAGCTACATGTCACACAAAATGTTCAACCCAGTGATCAGGTGATGAGTTCACGATATTTTGATGAAAATATTGAAGTCATTTTCTCCTCTAGCATAGCAGAAACTCTATGTATCCACTCCGCATATGCCTGTCAAATGAATTCTGTTCAGCTCCATGTTTAAACAAACTGCTTTGTCACACACAGCAAAAAAATTTCTTCTCACTTTCTCCTGGAATTCAGTAGGGCCCAAACAACGTTCATCACTGCAGAACTCGACTCCTCTGTGGTATCAAGCAGCAGAGGTTGCTGATAAATACACTGTGCACTGCCATACAGTCCTGACAGGATGTTCATCTAGGAGAATTTGAAGTAATAAGCGATATAATTTGTGGGGGGAAGGAGTTTCCAAAGCAGCCYCTTGAGTACAATGTGTCAAGGACATTCAAGGATTCAAGGCAGATGACTGGCGAGGGAAACTGTGGCCATGTAACTGCGGCTATGTATGCAGCCTCATCCTTTGCATTTTATTTCACKGATTTTTTTACACAGCAGGTGACTTGAGATTTGATTTTCTTCCAGAGTCACAGTTGCATGTTTCARGTTAATAATGCCTTTTACTTAGTCAAAAAGCGAGCTGGACTAATTGGGGTCACCTTGCAGAAGCTTTGGCAATTTGCTTAAAAGATTGTCTGATTTTGTTTGGGTAAGTTTGTGTCAAGCAGCCTTTCCTCCTACTAGCATTTGCGAAGATTTTTAAGAGTATTTGCATGAGACAAGCATTCCTTTTCCAAGAAATCCATTGTGGCATGCACATTTCTTCAGTAAAGTTTGTTACCATATGTGAATAAAATTTCTCAAATTATTYTTCCATGTTGAAGTTTACTCAAACCTTTTGAGATTTTGATGATCTACTTCATTTCGCAAATATTTCCTGTGCTGTATCTCTAGTTAGTAARGACATTTAGTGCCATAAGGTTTTACTTAGTGGGTTTTTTTTAATTACAAAAAAAAACGAGCTACTTGCTGAAAGTGAAAGGATCTCACATATGTTGAATCTATGAACTACACTATACTCCAAAATTTCAGCCTAAATATTTGTGCTTGTGCTCCCTTTCCACTGAGTCTCTGTCACATGCTGTTTTCTACAGGCCTAGACCACAGCAAAATCAGAGGTGGATCTCAGAGCTGTCCATGGGTGAGAAGCTCCTCATTTACCAGCAGTGCAGGGAGCTGCCTGGCACCAGCACATGGATCACCATGACTTTATCATACTTATTGTCTCACAGGTACGGCTGCAATATCTCTCATGTGGGCCTTCGAGCTGCGTGCGACTGCTGTGTGCAGCATGCTTGCATCATCCATGTTCTTCCACTCTCACAAAATTAATTTGAAGATTTTTACTTCACTCCTTCTTAAATTTCAGTACGTAACCATGCGTTTTCCTCAAAAATGCAGAACAGCCTTACTAGCATATAAAAGATTGCCCCAAAAGGCTATGAAGAACAGCAGGACCTACAGCCTCTGTGCACTGACAACACATCTAGGCTATTTTCTACCTGGGGGACGTTCTGGGAGGCTGTTCTGATCTCACCAGGAGGAAATACCTTCTCCTCAAATGCTATGGAAATACCTTCTCCTCACATCGTATCTGCTGTCACTGCTTCTTTTTTTGTGCAGATTGGSCATGCCCACTTTTGAGCCACACTTTGGCTGTACATTACATCTCCTGCTAGTTCCTGACACAGGATGAGGAAATTGCAGCAAAGAAAGATGAAACCCCATATAAAAAGCCACAGGACTAAGCTGGAATCTYTGCAGAGACATATCTGATTCAGTCCTGCTTCCTGTAACGAGAAATAGATTTTTTTCTACCAACACTCCAGTTTAAGGGAAAAATAAAACTGTTGGAAATTTCTACTTCAGGCCCTGACAACTGTATAAAGCTAAGTGGGGATTTCTATGACAATAATGTAGATTTCTTCACAAATGTTCATTAGAAATACTGCAGCATTTCTCTCCAAGGGTTAAAAATAAATAGCTGACAAAATATAGCTGAAAAGCTATAGTRGAATCACTGCTAGTTCATCAATGCCATTACTGACTCCTCTGACTCTTTTCAACAAGTATATTTAATTTGTTGGCAGGCCTATCTATTTAAAGATGCAAACTAAAGTAAACACAAGCCTCAGGAGCATTGCTTGTGCTAATAACTGTGACCCATAGACTGGATCTTCTCTGTTTAGTTTGACAGAGCATGCAAATCAGCTTATTGTAGAATAGCTGACACAAAAGAAAATGGCAGCAAGTGTTCATAGGCTGAAATGAAAGAGAGAGGTGACAAAAATTACCAAAAAAAAAACCCCTCTGCTTTTATTAAAGGAGACATCAGGTTCCATTTGGACCCAAGAGTTACATTCATGCAAGTCTATTATCAGAGAACTTCTTTCCTAGGAGCGGGAGAGAGATGGAGGACCTAAGCCAGCAAGCATCAAAAGGATTTTACTGAGTGACTTTTTTATTACAGTGATCAATAAACAAAAAGTAAAACAGAGAAAGGAAGCAACTCCCATAGCACAGGCCCTGATGCCATGCTAATGCATATTTTTCCCTCCATATGAAGCTCTGCACAGGCACTATTATGAATGTTTGCTCTACAGTTATGTTTAGTTACTTCTATTTTACATGTCATGTGGGACACTTGTATATAGAAGTTTTTAAATACTGAAACTTCTTCTAAATGCACTGTGAAAACAAATGCCGAGTCCCTGTTCACCCTCCATTTGGCAGTAGTTTTTGATGATGTGGCCTGTCCTAAATCTGATAGCTCTCTGCACCTCTGCCTAGTCAGGACTTGCAGCACTTCTCCCCTTCTATCCAAGGGTCACTGGTTACTGCTGGGGATTTGAAGAGGGTTCAAACCCACAGCTCCCACAGCAGTGCCATGGTCACCAGTTGCACTGGGGACAAAGGACCCTCCTTGACCTGCGTACGGATGTGTATAAAAACATCCTAGATGTACTGGCCCAGAAGAGAATGAGCGAGCAGGYAGGGTAATTCTAGATGGACTGAGGACTAGGCACAACCTGAGAGAGCTGTGCACATGTTGTTTGAATCAAAGGAGCAATCTGAGGATTTCTACCCCATATAAAACATAAGCAGTCCTTCAAGCAGGGACTGAAGACCAGGCCACCGCGTTGTGTCCACRTTGCTTGCTTTCTTGCAGCAAAGTGCAGCAGATTGAGCAGTAARTCCACTTTCCTTTACTCCTGTCTGCACAGGGCTTCAGGGAGCCCCAACACTCCAGCCAGAGCAGGGAACAGGACTGAGCAGCTACACAACGCATGCATTCCCAACACTGTTGTCCACGGGGGCTGTGGTTTGAAATAAAATACCTTTTGTTGTCAACTTTTGTGCAGCAACCAATCCATACTTTGGGAATATTAACTGGAACAAGCCCCCAAAGCCCTACAGGCAGACAGACAGCTGATTTGTGAGCAATTAATTACAGGCTTCTGGCATGAAGAAGGAACTTAACACTTGATTCTACCAAAGATATGGTATTTCTAAGAAGGTGAGAAGCAGTATCAAGCCCAGCAAAATCACTGGCATTTACTGTTTTGACTCACTGCCAGTAATAGAAGGGAGCTAAATAGGAACTTTGATAAGGACAAATTTATACTCAAGGTGTCTACCTACATCTAAAAACGTTCCAAGGCATTTAGTGAATCTCTGCCCAAATAAATTAATTGGGCTATATGATGATTTGCAGCTGATTTCCTACAAAACTGTGCACAATTACTAAAATTTGACACGATAATAGCTTTGTGTTCTCAGCTGGCTGAGGGAGCAGTAAATCTCTCCCTAGGTGAACAAAGAATTTGCTGTTGGCCTGTGGGGTCTTTATTTTGACTCGACTGCCACTAGCTGTCTATTAACATTTCCTTTCTGGTCTGGAGATCAATTGCAGTACACCTACCTTCATGCAGCACTGACAAAAGCTGCAAAACAAGATTAATGCTTAAGTTTGATCTCCTCCGTGGGTGTTAGCAGCTGGGTTAATATCACTCAACCACTCAACAGCTTGTCATTGTCTGCCTTGAAGGAGAACTACGCCACACATCAGCAGCTAAGGGGGTTTCAGCTTCTCACTTTCAAATGTCATTCAGCGTGATGGCAACTATCATTTAAAACCATTCTGCTTTTCCCTTACCCACCGAAGAAGTTAAGCRGCACTTTTTGCCTGCAAATATAGAGTTTTTGCCAGTGCCTTTAAGGAGGTGCTATGTACACCACAGCTGAGCACACCAGCATAACATCATGCAAGTGCCTCTGGTTCACA